TGCTCTTTAGTGCTTCATTATCATTGTTTTATAGAAATTCTGTTTATATTTCTCTTTAACTCAAAAACTATTAATAAATTTTCCAATTTCTAGATGGAAAGATTTTTTGTGTTTTTTAAATTTCATTTTTGATTGCTAGTTTTAATGCACTTTGATAAGTGTAATAATTCTACTCTATGAAATTTGCTTTCTTGGTAACCTAATATATGATCAATTTTCCTATTTTATGTGTGCTTGAGAAAAATGTGTATTTTCTAGTTTCTATTCTCATAGTATTGGAAGTGTATGCATAAGATCTACCTTATTGATTATGTTGCTTAGCTCTTCTGTATTCCTTTTTTGTCCTTGGACCTGTGTGTTAAAGTCTCTTATTACTAGTGTGTCTATTTCTCTTTATATCATCTATAGGTAGTTACTGTGTTGCCTTATGCATAATCATAACTTTATGTCTTGATTATAAATTGTGAGTTTGAGCTTCGTAAAGTGTTCCCCTTGTCAGATTTAATTCATTTGTTGTCTAAGTTCTAGTTTGTCTGATAATCTGGATTTCAACTCATTTTCTTATTGTTTCCATTTGACTGGTATTTGTCCTTCCCATTACTTTTAGCCCGTTCAAATTACGATGTTTTAAGTATTTTTATTGAATTAGTGTGGAACTGAGTTTTGCTTTATGAGCGGATTTGAAATATTTTTCTTTAAATAGGCAGTTTAAACCCATTTGCATTGATTGCTCTGACTGATACATTTGTTTTCAACTCTGTCATATTTTTATCAATAATAGCTGATTCAGTTATATTTACTGTATTTCTTTTTCTATGTGGAATCTTTGCTTTTTATTTTAATTTCTTTTAGTATATAGGAAAGTTTGTATTTTTGTTGCACTGGTTACTTTTACAAACTAGAAAAAGAAGAGCAAATTAAACCCACAGTAGAAGGACGAAAATAATAAAAATTAGAATAAAAACCAAGAGCTCTTTAAAAAAAAAAGATGAACCTGCATCTCCATACTGATCAAGAAAAGAAGGAAAGAAGATACAAGTTACCAGTAACAGGAATGAAAGAGAAGATAGCACTACAAATCCTTTATACATAAGAAGGATGATAAGGAAATATTATGAACAACATTTTACCTATAAATTCACTGAGATGAAATAGGCAAATTCTCTGAAGAAAATACGAATTACAAAAACTAACTTAAGAAGAAACAGAAAAACAGAATAACCCTATATCTATGAAATAAATTGAATTAATAATTTAAAAACCTTCTCACAAAGAAAATGCCAGTCCCAGATGGTGAATTTATCAAACATGTAAAGAAGAAATAACACTAATCCTATGCAAAGTCTTTCAGAAAAGGAGAATGAAGTTACCAACTCATTTATAAGGCCAGAATTGCCCTGATTGAAACCACAGACACTAAAAGAAAACTACAGATCAGTATCTCTCATGATCTTAGATACAAAAATTCTTAACAAACTATTAGTAAATTAGTTCCAGTAAAGTATAAAAGGGGAAATTCTATGACTTAAATGGGGTTTATATTATTAATTAATGTTGATAGAATCATTATTTTATAGTCACATTTAATTTTTCATTGAAAATAATCTAACTTCTTTAGATGCCTTCATAACAGACTTGTCTCTTCATTTCTTCCCACTGTTTTCAAATACAAATCCACTTTCCAAAAATAAAGATTTGCCATCACTGAGGAGCTCCAAAACAATATGCTAAAGGCTTTGGACCCCACATTAAGAATTCTCTGCTTCAGAACGTTTTTGGGTTATGGTAATGTTCTGTATCTTGATTGTGGTCTTGTTTACATGAGTATATAATTTATCAGAACTCATCGAGCTGTACACTTAAAGTTTTTTATTTTTTAATGTCCTGCTCTAAGTTGTGTTTTAGACCTAAGGTATTCACAAATATCTGAAGAATATTCTTGACAGTAGAGAAAGTTCTGAAGTCCCTTTTAGTTCTAATCCTGCCTCTGAAGTGAACCTGATACATACCATATTGAAATCCCAGTGAGGAAATCTTACCCTTGTTTATTGGACTAGCATGGCTCCATGTAGGTGCAAAAAAAGTCATTTGGAGCTTAACATTTGTGACTCATTTAAATTATTTTTGAACTTAATAAAATCTGTATTTAATTTTCTCCTACTTCATTAGACCTAGCTTAATTCATACAGTGTTACTCTGCTCATAATACATTTTTAAATTGTCTTGAACTTAACAACAAAGTTCACCATATGTTTGTTAGAACAATTCCAGATGACTGCTTATTCATTCATGCTTGTTTTCAGCTTTATTCATTCTTCAAATAGCATCTACATTCATCTGAAGAAACTAAAGTAAGCTGATTACCGTAATAGTGTGGGGCTTACAGTTCAGATCTCCTCTAAACTCTTACTTAAGAGTAGATACTGTGAAGCATTATTTCTTAACTTGGTTATTGATTCAAGGATAGACTTTAGTGCTAGATCATTAATATCCTTTTACTGGTTGTGGGAAAAAGAGAGGTGACATTTTAGTCAGGCATGTCTATCAAAAGTATTATTTTTACTCTCTGCTCTTAGTGCCAAATATTTTCTCACACAAATTTTCAAATCTTCCTGTCATCTTGCGTTTCCATTAAATGAGTTAACACCGGCCGGGCGCGGTGGCTCACGCCTGTAATCCCAGAACTTTGGGAGGCTGAGACAGGCGGATCACGAGGTCAGGTGATCCAGACCATCCTGGCTAACACGGTGAAACCCCGTCTCTACTAAAAAATACCAGAAAAACTAGCCAGGCGTGGTGGCGGACGCCTGTAGTCCCAGCTACTCGGGAGGCTGAGGCAGGAGAACGGCGTGAACCCGGGAGGCGGAGCTTGCAGTGAGCCGAGATGGCGCCACTGCACTCCAGCCTGGGGGACAGAGGGAGACTCCCTCTCAAAAAAAAAAAAAAAAAAAAAAAAATGAGTTAACACCTTAGTAGATTATTCATAAACTTCAAACTTGGTGATCATTGATATTTTTATAACATTTGGTTTATACTCTGATGAAATATAAAAAGAAATGTTTAGGCACTTCACAAAGATATACAATACCATACTTAAGTGAAGAAATCAGAGAGAAAAGGAAGAGGAAAGCAAGATGCAGCCATGACTAAAGTTTGCATGCTGTGGAAGACCAACACACACTTACTAGAGCTAGGCCCCAAATTTAGCCCTGGAGTTTGTAGTCCCTCAACACAAGGTTAACAGATAAAATACAGGGCACCCAATTAAATTTAAATTCCAGATAAACAAGTAATTTATAGTATAAGTATGTCTTGTATTTTTGTTTGCCAAACTAAGCAGCCCTACCACAGATAAAAAAATGCAACTATTCTAATTACTAAATTATGTAAGCAACCTCAGCTAAAATTTAAAGGTTAACTATTTAATTTCCTGAACCTCAGAAAGTCACTCAGATCATTTGAAGACTTAGGCCATAAAAATTGAAGTGCTTGTTATTATTTTTGCTATAAATATAACGGGCCTTACGGCCCTTTATTGTTTTATTTTAAGATTTGCATTTTTTTTCCTAATGCTCTCGAGATTTTTTTTTTTTTTTTTTTTGGTGATAGGGCCTCGCCTGTCTCTCAGGCCGGAGTGCTGTGATGCTGGTACAACTACGGCTTACTACAGCCTCGACCTCCTGGGCCCAAGTGATCCATTCACTTCAGCCCCTGGGATAGAAGGGACTACAGGCACGCACCACCATGTCCGGCTAATTTTTCTTTTTTTTTTTTTTTGAAACGGAGCCTCACTCTGTCGCCCAGGCTGGAGTGAAATGGCGCAATCTTGGCTTACTGCAACCTCCCTCTCCCGCGTTCAAGTGATTCTCCTGCCTCAAGGTTTCACCATGTTAGCCAGGCTGGTCTCAAACTCCTGACCTCAAGTGATTCACCCGCCTCAGCCTCCCAAAGTGCTGGGGTTATAGGCATGAGCCACCACACCGAGCCTTAGCTAATTTTTTTATTTTTTATTTTTGTAGAAATGAGGTCTCACTATGTTGCCCAGGCTGGTCTCGAATTCCTGAGCTCAAATATTTTCTCCTGCCTCAGCCTCCCAAATTGTTTGGATTGCAGGCATGAGCCACCACACTTGGCTAAGCAAAACATTCTTAATAAAATATTTAAAGTATTTTGTGGCCTATTGCATATTCTGCTAAATATTCTGACTTTTGATGGTGTGAATATAACCCTGTCCCAAGAGAATCCGTCAACGTCATTAGAGGTACTGCCTGCACTAATAGACATCACATGTAGTATAGTCTCCTGAGTAATAATATAACAAACCACGTGAAGGGTATGAAGGGTAGCAGTGACTGTTTCTTTCCTCTGCGTTGCACCCTGTCCCTTTTACTCTATGTCCTGATGAATGGAATTACAAGGCCTTGGAATAGGTGGCTGGCCTTCTCAACAAGGTAATATCTTGTGCCGTTCTGTCTCCATTCTGACAGTTGCCTAGCCTTAGGTTAAAGACAAATTATTGGTGTTTGTAGATTCTCACTAGCATATATATTAGAGAGTTTGGTCCTCAGAGTTTTTTCACTGGTCTAATACTCTCATTATATTCATTCTTGTTTACAGAACTGCTAACATTCTTATTCTTTTTTTAAACTGACCCCTTGGTTTTTCTGCCCTAGACACTGCCTATTCAGCAACTAATCTTCTTTTGAAAGCTTTTCCTGACTTTTTATATGCCTCATATATCTGGAGTTATAGTTTGGTATAGTTAATTTCGCTTATTTTGAATATAAATTTTTATTTTGATCATTTATTTTTTAAGTCATTTTTCCTAATTTGCTTGAATCACAAATGATTATTTTTACTAAACTTTAATGGTGTCTTCTGTACCTTCCTTTGTTCTCTTTATAAGTTTTTCTTTTCCTCTGGTATCGTTTTAAACTTCAGTGCATTGTGGAATACAGCTTTGTCCCATAACCCTGAAGAAAAACATTGAGACAATAAATGTGATCACAGGATTTTTTTTTTCTTCTTACCTAACTTTGAACAGGTAATGGAGAGTGAAGAGTTCATGTTGCTTCCAGCCAATCAACTCATTGATATAATATCCAGTGATGAACTAAACGTTCGCAGTGAAGAACAAGTGTTCAATGCAGTGATGGCCTGGGTCAAATACAGTATTCAGGAAAGACGTCCTCAGTTACCCCAGGTAATGATAAAAATGCTTCTCTAAGAAACTACTGGCCAGGCGCGGTGGCTTATGCCTGTAATCCCATCACTTTGGGAGGCCGAGGCAGGTGGATCACAAGGTCAAGAGATCAAGACCATCCTGGCCAACATGGTGAAACCCCGTCTCTACTAAAAATACAAAAATTAGCTGGGCGTGGTGGTGGGCGCCTGTAGTCCCAGCTACTTGGGAGCCTGAGGCAGGAGAATCGCTTGAACCCAGGAGGCGGGGATTGCAGTGAGCCGAGATTGCACCCCACTGCACTCCAGCTTGGCGACAGAGCGAGACTCCGTCTCAAAAAAAAAAAAGAAACTACTTAGTACTAGATGAGATAATATGTATTGTCATGCAAACATAAAACAGTTATCACTCTACATTTGTCTGTAAGAAAGTCCATCTGTTTCCAAATAATCAAGGAAATAAGTATTTAGAAGCATTTTGGTTGCTTATTAATGTGGGCTTTTTGTTCCTTTGCTTTCTCCATATTTCTACTTTTGAATGATAGCACAATTCAAAACTTAAATTGTATAAAATGAACAAAAGAAAGCAAGGATGCTTCTTTTCTATAGCTTGAAAATCCTACCACAGTTTTCCTTCAATATAACTTGGAAATAGTACCACACTTTCAAGAGTAAAGAGATGATGCATCAGTCGTCACTGAGCGATCAGTAGTTCACTTCAGACCCATTCTCGTTATTGTGACTATAGTCTTTAGCAATTCAACAAGATATTCTTCCGGATTGTGAATTAATTTGAGTCCAGCTTATAATGTATTGCTGAACATTTTTAGTAGTTACGCCTTCCCGCCTTCCTTATTTATGGTATCAGTGAGATCCCAAAACAGCTGGAAGCACAGTAGGGTGCCATGGGTCATGTATTCTCTTAAATATCTTATAGATGAGAGCTCATGCCTTTAATAGTGTTATTCGTTGGGTGCAGTGGTGCAAGCCCATAATCCCAGCACTTGGGAGGATAAGGCAGGCAGATTGCTTAAGCTCAGGTGTTTGAGACCAGCCTGGGCGGCATGGTGATTCCCCGTTTCTACAAAAAAAAAAAAAACAAAAATTCACTGGGCATGGTGGCATGTACCTGTAGTTGCAGCTACTCTGGAGGCTGAGGTAGGCAGATCACTTGAGCCCAGGAGGTTGAGGCTGCAGTGACCCATGATCACACCACTACACTCCAGCCTGGGCAACAAAGTAAGACCTATCTCAAAATTAATTAATTAAAATAATGGTGTTTATTTTCTCATAGGTGCTGCAGCATGTTCGTTTGCCTTTGCTTAGTCCCAAGTTCCTCGTGGGCACAGTAGGCTCTGATCCCCTCATCAAAAGTGATGAAGAATGCAGGTATGAGTGACCCTGGATGGGAAAAATCAACAACTAAGCATTCCTATTTCTTCCTAATTTCTTTATTTATATTGCTTCCTAAATGTTGTATTTTGTAGAGCTGAAATCAGGGCATTAATTTAACAAGACTTTCTTCTGAGCTAGGGTCAAGAGGAGGAAAAGGAAGAAGAGAGAACTAAACTTCCAGTGTTCCATTCCGTTAGTTTTTTATGTGTGGTGCTTATTGGTGTAGAAGTGGCAATAAAGAGGTAGATTTCCAAGATTCTGATGCAGGCTTGAATTTGAAGAGTCAATTCTCTGCTAATATTTTTTTTTTCCTTGAGATAATTGAAAATGTTGACTCTGTCAGTGAACATTTTTTCCTTCCATCACATATGTCTGGTTGGGGAATAGAATCAGCCTTGCTTTCTAAATTGTGGACAGAGTTAAAGATCTGCCACCTTCTAAAATAGCTGTAGAAAGATTTTCACTAGAACTAGGTGAAGCAGTTTCCAGAATTTTTTTGACAAAAGAAACTCCAACTACTTTTACAAAGGGGGGGAAAAAAGGCAACCTGTTTTACTAGGCTGTCTCTAAAGTATATACAAAATGTAATAAATTACATTCCCAATTTGACAGATTTTAAGATTTAGGTTCAAATCTGAAATCTGCGATTTTTAACCATTTTTCCCAGCATGTCCCAAATATAAAAGTGAAAGAGAAAATCCATACTCAGAACTTTTTAAACTACACTGACCTTTGGACCTCCCTTGGTGATTAAAGACATTTAGAATGATCCCTGATTTTAGAATGGTGGTAGGACATGTAGATTCACTTGCATTTCTTCTATAAACTAAAGCCTGTTCTTTTAACAGGAGAGGCTGGAGGGATTTTAGATGTTTCTATTTTATTTTATTATATCTTTTTATATTAATCATTGTTTTTCCCTTTACCGTGGACTAGAGTTAAACTAGATATTTGTCTTTTATATTTAAAACACAGACAAATGGTAATTAATTCTCCCTAAATATTTGCAGTAGCAAAAAGGAAAACCATATACATTATACATGCTGAAATCTGAAGAAATAATACATAGATGCCCTCCTCCATTAAACGTAAATCAGATTGTACTGATTCTGATGCAGAAAGTAAAGGTACTTACGAAGTCACATTTAAAAGAAGACCCTTCCTGATATCCTAACTTCTTTGTGCTGCAGTTTCTTCCTCTATAAAGTGAGGATGATAATAGTGCCTATTCCATAAGGCTGTTTTGAAGATTAAATGAGTTTATATATATTAAGCACTTAAAACCATGACTAGCGTATAGCTGTAAGTCTTGTTGCTACCATTAATTTTGTGTTGGTTTGCTCAATATTATAACTCTATAGTATTATTTCTAGGAACCCTCAAATGACCTAACAAACTATTAGGAGGTCAAAGTCTTTTTTTTTTTTTTTTTTTTTTTTTTGAGACGGAGTCTCACTCCGTTGCCAGGCTGGAGTGCAGTGGCACAATCTCGGCTCACTGCAACCTCCGCCTCCCAAGATCAAGCTATTCTCCTGCCTCAGCCTCCCGAGTAGCTGGGACTACAGGTGTGCGCTACCATGCCTGGCTACTTTTTGTATTTTACTTTTTGTATTTTAGACATGGTTTCACCATATTGGCCAGGATGGTCTTGATCTCTTGACCTCGTGATCCACCCGCCCCTCAGCTTCCGAAAGTGTTGGGATTACAGGCGTGAGCCATGGCAAAGTAATTACAAGTGTAATTACTAGATTCTTCTCTTAAAGTATCTTAACAAGACAGGAAATTTGTCTCAGTAGACTTGTTGAGAGTAAACCATTCATATGTTACCAGATAGTGAATTTGTGACAGTACAGTGTTTCTTTTTAGCAATCTGATTTTTGACCCCATTTTATTACTTTAACTAATTTAGCAAATAACTCTTGCCCTGGCTGATGTGCTACCTTGCTAATATCTTGCAGAATCTAATAAAATTTATTAAAAAGTAGTAACTCTGCAGTGTGGTAATCAAATTGTGATTTTTACTTTTCTATAAGTTATCGTTGGCTGTAAGCATGTTGAGCTTTAGGCTAAATTTGCAGTGAGATATGAGTCATGATGGAAATAACAATCAATTCACAACTCAATTTGACTGGCATTATTGCTTTCATGTTTGTGCCAGTTTTAATATTGGCTGGCATTCATGATTTGGTTTGATTTATGCTTGCTTCCCTTTGCCAACCTATATATTCCTAAACTACATTGGGACTTAACTAACAATGTAATTTAGATATTTGGAATAAAGGGAGAATTTTTTCTACAGAGACTTGGTAGATGAGGCTAAAAACTACCTCCTGTTGCCGCAAGAACGACCACTAATGCAAGGACCAAGGACAAGACCACGGAAACCTATCCGATGTGGGGAAGTACTCTTTGCAGGTTTGGATGTCATACTGTTAGTAAATTGAGTATTTTCCCATGTGAGAAATTATCATTTGAATAATCCTTTGGACAATTGTGATATTTACTGTCATAAGAAACAAATAGGCCGGGCGCGGTGGCTCAAGCCTGTAATCCCAGCACTTTGGGAGGCCGAGACGGGCGGATCACGAGGTCAGGAGATCGAGACCATCCTGGCTAACACAATGAAACCCCGTCTCCACTAAAAATACAAAAAAATTAGCCGGGCGTGGTGGCAGCGCCTGTAGTCCCAGCTACTCGGGAGGCTGAGGCAGGAGAATGGCGGGAACCCGGGAGGCGGAGCTTGCAGTGAGCCGAGATCGCGCCACTGCACTCCAGCCTGGGCGACAGAGCGAGACTCCGCCTCAAAAAAAAAAAAAAAAAAAAAGAAACAAATAATAAGTCAGCATGTAGCTTGACTCTTAACCCATGATTCAACACTGATAATACTCCAAAAGAGTGCTCTATTTTTTTTCTCATTCAACACCTTTAATATCTATTATTATATAAATTGAAAAATATTGGCTGGGCACAGTGGCTCATGCCTATAATCCCAGCATTTTGGGAGGCCAGGCGTTTGAGACCAGCCTGGGCAATATAGGGAGGCCCCATCTTTACAAAAAAATAAGAAAAACAATTAGCTGAATGTGGTAGTACATGCCTGTAGTCCCAGCTACTTGGGAGGCTGAGACAGGAGGATGGCTTGAGCCTAGGAGGTCAAGGCTGCAGTGAGCTGTGATTGTACCACTGTACTCCAGCCTTAGGAACAGAACAAGATCCTGTCTCAAAAAATAAAAAATAAAAATGTCATGCAGTAGATGTTTTGTTGAAATGAGTCACATGCATTAATTTATATATCAATGTGCAGCTCATCTCATAATTACATGGAATTGTGAAAAACATGTTAAACAATTATAATTTATTTCTCCTTTCTATGCATATCCATCTGTAATTTCTCCATTCTATCCATATATACATATTATGTCGTAATCCTATTTGAATTGGTATCATTGCCCTCCTTTGTAAAATAGATGTAATACTAACTTATTTACAGAATTAATTAAAGATTATAACAATCCCAGGGGAATGAGTTAAAGTCATAACTTGCATTTTGGCTTACTGCTAGAGACATTTGGTGAGTCTAAGCATTAGGTCACAGTGAAGTTCATAGTGAGTGTTACATTCTATGCTTCAGGATAGGATTCTCTTGACCATTTCTGTTACTTCCCCAGTTGGTGGTTGGTGCAGTGGAGATGCCATTTCCAGTGTTGAACGATATGATCCACAGACCAATGAATGGAGAATGGTGGCTTCAATGAGCAAAAGGAGATGTGGAGTTGGGGTCAGTGTTCTTGATGATCTGTTATATGCAGTAGGAGGCCATGATGGATCCTCTTATCTCAACAGTGTTGAAAGGTGAGTAAGGTCAATCTGTAATTTTCTCTCTACTATTCATATAGTTTTATTTGAGATTTTAATTAGGAATCAAATGTGACTTAATGCTTTAATATTGCATCTGTGGCACTAGTTGGCAACCTAAACAAGTTAGTATGATACACAAATTCTTTATGATTTGGTCTCCACCTATTTCTCTAGTCTGTCTGCCATGACATACTACCCCTCCCTAAGCATGCCACTGCAGACATATCAAATTGCCTGCAGTTCCTTGGACATGCTGTCTTCCTTCATACCTCTCTCCTTACATATGCATGCTGTTCTTTTTTCCCTGGGATACTTCTGCCATTTTAAGACTTACATTTCCTTTGGCTGGGCGCGGTGGCTCACGCTTGTAATCCCAGCTACTCAGGAGGTTGAGGCAGGAGAATGGCCAGAACCCGGGAGGCAGAGCTTGCAGTGAGCTGTGATCGCGCCACTGCATGCCAGCCTGGGCAAAAGAGCGAGACTCCTTCTCAAAAAAAAAAAAATAAAAAGACTTAACATTTCCTTCAAGACACAAATGTTACTTATTACATACAACTTTCTGTGATACCATATAGATGAGTTAGTTACTACTTACTTGTTCCTTTGCCTTCCATAAGTATTTTGAACATGTTTGTACATATCCATCACATTGTACTGTACGTGTTGAAATGTATTTCACTATAATATCTATTGTAGTTACCGGGCACATTGGGAATCTATAGTAACTGATGTTTCCATAGCTTTTAGCTCTCAAGAAGTTGTGTTGATTAACAGTGACTCTTAATTTCCATAACACATCTATGAAACGCTGCAGTTTTAAGGGTATAGATTGTGCAGCTGGGGAAAAAAATCTTAAAAAGTAGAGGGATCGGGGGGAGGGGGGAGGGATTGCATTGGGAGTTATACCTGATGTAAATGACGAGTTGATGGGTGCAGCACACCAACATGGCACAAGTATACATATGTAACAAACCTGCACGTTATGCACATGTACCCTAAAAAAGTATAATAATAATAAATAAATTTAAAAAAAAAAAAAAAAGTAGAGGGATCAGTCCCGTAGAAGTAAAAAACTGCAACATGGAGAAACCTCATCTCTACAAAAAGTACAAAAAAATTACCAGTTGTAGTGGTGCACGCCTGTAGTCCCAGCCACTCAAGAGACTGAGGCATGGGGCCCGCTTGAGCTTGGGAAGTAAAGGTTGCCATGAGATGAGATTGCGCCATTGCACTCTAGTCTGGGTGACAAAGCAAGACTCTCTCAAAAATAAAATAAAATAAAACAACACACACACTTAAAAATAAATTGATGACATCACAGAAGGGAAAAATAAATTGATGGCATCGCAGAAGGGATCATGGCGGACGGGGGAGGCAGGACTAGATTGAAGCTCCGGCTTGACTGTAAATTTTAGCTCCAGATTGACTGCAAGAAAAAATCAGCAATATCAAGAGGACCCACAGACCCTCTGAAGAAAGCAGACTGCTCCTTCAGGACCCGGGAGAAACCCCACATACTGTGAGTGCCCCAACTGCAGAAGTGGGAAAGGGAGACCCTCCTCTTCCAAACACACACCCCCACTGGAGAAGCTGAAGGTCTGTTCACAGGAGAAATTTCCAACTTTACCTGGAGCTGAGTCAAGTTAGTTAGAGAGCCAAGCGAAATACAGGGGTAGAGGAAGCAGCAGAAAGGCCCTGGGAGTTCGCTGGGTCCAAATGGTGGCCAAGCAGGCCTAGCACCACTGGGATCCATCGGGAGGGTGGCCAGAGGAGCAGGGGATAAAACTCCCCAGGGAGAAGGAATTCTCTAGCTGACCTTTGTAACAATTTGAACAGGGGGAGAAGCCTCCTGACCAGAACGCAAGGGAGGGTGCAAATCCTGCCTGCAGACTTCACTGGCAGGGAGAGAACTAAAACCCTTTTCTCTTGCAGCTGGGAGGTGGATAGCCTCGGGCAAGTTTTCAAGCCTGTCGCCCGTGGCCGGAAACAGACTCAGAGTTGTGAGGCAGGTACGGTGGGAGTGAGACCGGCCCTTCAGTTTGTGTGGGAGCTGAGTGAGGCCTGTGACTACCGGCTTTCCCCCACTTTCCTGACAACCTGCATGACTCAGCAGAGGCAGTCATAATCTTCCTAGCTACACAACTCAAGTGACCTGGGAATCTCTTCCCCCATCCCCAACAGCAGTCGCAGCAAGACCTGCCCAAAAAGAGTCTGAGCTCAGACATGCCTAATCCCGCCCCCACCTGATGGTCCTTCCCTGTCCACCCTGGTAGTGGAAGACAAAGAGCATATAATCTTGGGAGTTCTAGGACCCCACCTACCACCAGTTCCTCTCCATATTACTACAGCTGATGCTTTCTGGAAAGCACCAACTCCTGGCAGGAGGCCAACCAACACAAAAATACAGCATTAAACCACCAAAACTAAGGACCCTCACAGAGTCCACTGCACCCTCCACCAGAACAGGCACTGGTATCCACAGCTGAGAGACCCATAGATGGTTCACACCACAGGACTCTGCAGACATCCCCTACTACCAGCCCAGAGCCGAGTAGACTCACTGGGTGGCTAGACCCAGAAGAGAGACAACAATCACTGCAATTTGGGTCACAGGAAGCCACATCCATAGGAAAAGAGGGAGGATACTATATCAGGGGAACACTTCATGGAACAGAAGAATCTGAACAACAGCCTTCATCCCTAGACCTTCCCTCTGACAGAGGCTACCCAAATGAGAAGGCACCAGAAAACCAACCCTGGTAACATGACAAAACAAGGCTCTTCAACACCCCCCAAAAAATCATACTAATTCACCAGCAATGGATCCAAATCAAGAAGATTCCCTGATTTACCTGAAAAAGAATTCAGGAGGTCAGTTATTAAGCTAATCAGGGAGGGACCAGAGAAAGGTGAAGCCCAATGCAAGGAAATCCAAAAATGATACAAGAAGTGAAGGGAGAAACACTCAAGGAAATAGATAGCTTAATGAGAAAACAAAAATTCAGGAAACTTGGGACACACTTTTAGAAATGCAAAATGCTCTAGAAAGTCTCAGTAATAGAATTGAACAAGTAGAAGAAAGAAATTCAGAGCTCAAAGACAGGGTCTTTGAATTAACCCAATCCTACAAAGACAAAGAAAAAAGAATAAGAAAATATGAACAAGCCTCCAAAAAGTCTGGAATCATGTTAAACAACCAAAATAAGAATAACCAGTATACCCAAGGAAGAAGAGAATTCTAAAAGCCTGGAAAACATACTCGGGGGAGTAATCAAGGAAAATTTCCCCAGCCTTGTGAGAGACCTAAACATCCAAATATAGGAAGCACAAAGAACACCTGTGAAATTCATCACAAAAAGATCTTTCCTTAGGCACGTTGTCATCAGGTTATCCAAACTCAAGATGAAGGAAAGAATCAAGAGCTGTGAGACAGAAACACTGGGTAACTTATGAAGGAAAACCTATCATTAACAGCAGATTTCTCAGCGGAAACCTTGCAAGCTAGAAGGGATTGGGGACCTATCTTCATCCTCCTCAAACAAAACAATTATCAGCCAAGAATTTTGTATCCAGTAAAACTAAGCCTTATATATGAAGGAAAGATAAGCCGTTTTCAGACAAACAAGTGCTGAGATAATTTGTCATTACCAAATCACCACTACAAGAACTTCTAAAAGGAGCTCTAAATCTGGAAACAAATCCTAGAAACACATCAAAACAGAACCTCTTTAAAGCATAAAATCACAAAGAACCTATAATGCAAAAATACAAGTTAAAAAGCAAAAACAAAAAACAAAACCAAAGTACACAGGCAACAAAGAGCACAATGAAAGTAACGATACCTCACATTTAAATCCTAACATTGAATGTAAATGACCTAAATGCTCCACTTAAAAGGTACAGAACCGCAGAATGGATAAGAACATTAGAAATATCAGAGAACTTCCTGGCTAACACGGTGAAACCCCATCTCTACTAAAAATACAAAAAATTAGCCAGGTGTGGTGGCAGGCGCCTATAGTCCCAGCTACTCAGGAGGCTGAGGCAGGAGAATGGCGTGAACCCAGGAGGCGGAGCGTGCAGTGAGCCAAGATTGTGCCACTGTACCCCATCCTGTGCAACAGAGCCAGGCAACATCTCAAAAAAAAAAAAAATTAAGCATACTATTTGCTACAGTAATTCTACCTATCACCCATTCACACAAAGAGAAATGTACAAGGATGAACATTGTTTTTAATTGCAAAATATTAGAAACAGCCTAAGGGGTATATCAGTAGGAATATAATTAAATAATGTATAACACATATAATAGTACAATAATTAAAAAGAAAAATCTGGAGCTATATTAGCATAAATAGATTTCAAAAAATGTTGAGGGAAAAAGCAGTGCCTACTGTGTGGTATTATTTATGTGAAGAAAACATGCTTGCATATAAAGAAATATATATATGTGGATACATATATACATATATATATTTTACTGAAAAGTCTTGAAGGATATATGCCAAATCAAAATGGGAAGAGACCAGAATTCAGGTGGAACTCAAGGAAGGATTTAGCTTTATCAATAATATTCTGATTTTTTAAAAGAAAATATATTCATACATAAATTTCAAAAAATAAAAACACAAACCAGATTTTCAAATGTTTTAGTTGTTATTAATCAGCTCATACTTAGGGGAAAGAATATATATCGTATAAATCCATGGATTTAGAATATGTAAACATAGCCAAGCATCCTTTGTGTAATACAGACTCTCCTCTTGGTATGTTCTTTTCAGGTATGACCCCAAAACAAACCAGTGGAGCAGTGATGTGGCCCCTACAAGCACCTGCAGGACAAGTGTTGGTGTAGCAGTACTTGGAGGCTTTCTCTATGCTGTGGGTGGCCAGGATGGCGTGTCTTGCCTCAACATTGTTGAGAGGTGATTTTTTTTTAAGTCATTTTCTGTATTTTTATTTTAAAGAACATAGAGCTCTTTAAAAGAAACAAGTACAGGCTGGGCATGGTGGCTCACACCTGTAATCCTAGCACTTTGGAAGGCCAATGCAGGTGGATTGCTTGAGCTCAGGAGTTCAAGACCAGCCTAGGCAACATGGTGAGATTAAAAAAAAAAACACAAAAAAATAAGCCGGGCAAGGCGGTGCATGCCTGTAGTCCCAGCTACTTGTGGAGCTGAGGCGAGAGGATCACTTGAGCCCAGGAAGTTGAGGCTGCAGTGAGCTGAGATCATGCCACTGCACTCCAGCCTGGGTACAAAATGAGACCCTATATCAAGGAAAAAAAAAGAAAAGAAACAAGTGCAACTGAATTTAGGACATTGGAGGATCCACTATTCAGTGGCTTTCCCATAGGCTTTCAGGAAAAAGTCTTCAGTTGATCTTAAAGTCTAGGAAAATGAAAGATCTAAAAAAAGTTTTTTTTTAATTAACAAAAATTGTATATATTCATAGTGTACAGCATGATGTTTTGAAATATGTATAGCTGGTGGAATAGCTAAATCAAGAGCTAATTAACATATTTATTACCTCACATACTCATGATTTATTTGTGCTGAGAACACTTAAAATCTACTCTCAAGTGTATAATACATTGTTATTAACTATAGTCACTATGTTGTGCATTAGAGTCCTTGAATTTATTCCTTCTCTCTAACTGAAATTTTGTATTCATTTACCAAGATTTCCTCACTGCCCCTCACCTTGCCGGCCCCTGGTAACCACCATTCTACTCTCTACTTCCATGAGTTCAACTTTTTTAGATGCTTTATATAAGTGAGATCATGCAATATTTGTCTATGTTTAGCTTGTTTCACTTAATGTCCTCCGGGTTTATCCATGCCATCACAAATGCCAGGATTTCCTTCTTTTTTAAGACTGAATAGTATTCTCTTCATATATGCCATATTTTCTGTATCCATTCATCTGTTGAAGTACATTTAGCTTAACTTCATATCTTGTCTATTGTAAATAATGCTGCAATGAATATGAAAGTACAGGTATCTCTTCAACATACTTATTTCCATTGAATATATACTTAGTAGTGGGATTACTGGATCATATGATAGTTGTATCTTTAATTTTTCGAGGAACCTCTATACTGTTTTCTGTAATGGCTATGCTAGTTTACATTCTCATCAATAGAGTGCAAGGGTTTCCTTTTCTCCATATTCTTGCCAATATTTATCTTTCTGTTTTTATATAATAGCCATTCTAACAGGTGTGACATGATATTTCTTTGTGATTTGAATTTGCATTTCCCTGATGATCAGTGATATTGAGCATTTTCTCATATACTTAGCCATTTGTATGTGTTTCTTTTGAAAAATATCTGTTCAGGTCCTTTGTCCATTTTTAAATCAGATTATTTGTTTTCTTGCTGTTGAGTTGTTTAAGTTCCTTATATATTTTCAGTATTAACTTTTTATGAGATGTATGGTTTGCAAATATGTTCTCCCACTCTGTAGATTGTCTCTTCACTCTGTTGATTGTTTCCTTTGCCATGCAGAAGCCTTTTAGTTTGACATAATCTTACTTTTTTTGCTTTTGTTGCCTATGCTTTGGGGCACATAACCTGAGTTTTTCAACTGTCACGTTGATTGTACCTAACATTGAAATGTTAGAAATGTATTTCAGATTACGTTCTATATATATCAAGCATACCACTTGTGAAATCTGTTCTGATTTTTTTCCCGAATCTACCTGGAGTATACTTAATGCATGACTCTACTCAGACTTCCCTCAGAGAAATGATTAAGTAATAATACTTTGTATAGGACATCTGATAAAAAGCTTAAAGTATTTTGTATATAGACTCTCATTAATCATTGAAGTATGCTTAGGGAAATCTAGGTGGGCTGCCATAGTCACTTTATACTAGTGTACAAATAGTTAATTTTGGTGGAACAGATTTTGTTCTTAATTTCTTCTGTCAGCTTTTCATCATTAGATTTTAGAGTCTCATGTGGTATGATTACTGATAAGAACATATATTTCATCCTTACTTCTGAAAAAGAAATGAGTCATGACTCTAAAATTTTTGAGGTAGCATTTATTAGTTTACCATGCATATGTTGAAAAGTTTAACTGTTGTCAGTACAGATAAAATAGAAGGTAACTCTTGAAAGCTATGCCAGTTCCCTTTTATCTCTCTGTCAAGATTTTTTCACTTTCAAAACTCAGTACAGGAGGTTAGCAGCAGTGATGGCATAGTTTTTTAATATCTCCAAATGCCCACGTAAAAACAGATAAAGTAATAGATAGCAAAGCTAAAAACCTATGTACTAGTTCTGGAGACTGGAGTTACACAACAATGTGAATATACTTAACACTACTAAACAGTTAAAACATGGTTAAGATGGTAAATTTTATGTTATATTATGTGTATTTTACCACAATTTAAAAATCAGAACCTGTGAACAAAATTAAAGACAAAACTAAAGGAAAGGATATCCTCACAAACTCCAAAACACAAATGGGCAAAGACAAACTGCCTTTAGCCACAAGACCTGCATGGTATTAGTATCTTCAGGAGAAATCAGAAAGAAGCAACTGGATGTCTGACAGATCTAAGAACAAAAGAACCTCAAACTAGCTAATACATAGTCACTAGAAATCACAAGGGGAAAATTTATCAGCAACTGAAACTAGGACCAGTTTTGTCCACTGCCAGAGAGTGTAAGACCTCAATAAGACCTGAAGGATTTAGAAGAGCGTTTCTCAGCCTCAGCACTACTGGCGTTTTGGGTCAGACAATTCTTTGTTGTGGGGGACTGTCCTGTGCATTGTAGGATATTTAACAGCATCCATAGCCTCTACCAACTAAGTGCCAGAAGCACTTGCCTGGTTGTGATAACCAAAAATGTCTCCAAACATTGCCAGATGTTACCTAGGGGATGAGAAAGGGGGGATGAAGGGGAAAAAAATAACACCTGGTTGGGAACCAGCTGGGTTAGAACCATCTAGTCCCTGGGAACTCTCAAAACTGAGCAGCCAGGATAACCTTCCAGGTCAGGACTCTACACTGAGGAGAAACTTCTGGGAGTAGAATCAAAATTAAGCAGGATGAGGGCAACAGATGCCCTTGTTTTCCTTGAAAAGAGAAAGCCAAGACAAAAGTAAGGCAGTGAATAGTCAGTAAATCACTGGACTAGGCGCTGTGGCTCACACTCATAATCCCAACACTTTGGGAGGCCTAGGTGGGAGGGTTGCTTGAGTCCAGGATTTCAAAACTAGCCTGGGCAACATAGTGAGACCTTGTCTCTCCAAAAAATAAAAAAATTAGCCAGGCGTAGTGGCACACGCCTGTGGTCCCAGTTACTCAGGAGGCTGAGGTGAGAGGATTGCTGGGAGGTCAAGGCTGCCTTGAGCCATGATCGCTCCACTGCACTCCAGCCAGGGTAATAGAGTGAGACCCTGTCTCAAAAAAAAAAAAAAAAAAAAAAATTTAAGGATACCCAATTCTTTTTGATGTGATTATTTCACATTGCATGCATATATCAAAACATCTCATATACCCCATAAATATATACACAAAAATTAAAAATAAAAAAATTTAAGTAATAATCTCTGAAGGCAAGGCACTATATTTTTTAATACTACATTAAAAAAACAAGGAGCTCCACAAAGTTAGAAAAACTATCACAAACCAAACCACTCACTCCTATTTCTAAAAGTTCAGGAAAACTCACTTCATGTAAAAATGAAATAGCGAAGTATTGAGATTAGATTCCATACAAAGTGAATATAAGAAGAGAGAATAAGCAGCAGAATAACATCTCTACAGAAAATAAAAGCACACTAGAAAGACACACCTACACATCAAAACCTTAACTGTTTCAAAATGTGATAAAAGACATTAAGGAAATGATACAAGATATGAAACTACATAAATCAGAAGTAGAAAAATTCAGAAGTGAAGTGACAGAACTCAGAAAAGTATTAGAAATGAAAGGAAAAATCATTTCAGAATGAAGATTAAAGGAGAAAAAGGAAAACAGATAATGCCATAAGACAAGTAGAAGTCAAAAAGAGGAAATATTTTAAGGTCAAAAAGAAATCAAGGGCAGGCACAGTGGCTTATGCCTGCAATCCCAGCACTTCGGGAGGCTGAAGGGGGGGTGGAGCACCTGAGGTCAGGAGTTCAAGACCAGCCTGACTAACATGGTGAAACCCCGTCTCTACTAAAAATACAGAATTAGCCAGATGTGGTGGCAGGCACCTGTAATCCCAGCTGCTTGGGAGGCTTGAACCCAGGAGGTGGAGGTTGCAGTGAGCCGAGATCGCGCCATTGAGCTCCACCGTGGTCATCAAGAGCAGAATTCTCTCTCAAAAAATAAATAAATAAATAGAAAAAAATCAAGAGAGCATTTGAGAGATAGTAACAAATATTGAAAATAGGTAAAAATCTATTATACAGATCATAGCAGTCCTTAAAGAAGAAAACCAAAGTGACGAAACAGAACGAATACTAAGAACTGTAATTCAAAATTACTTTCCTGTAATTAAAAAAAATTGAAACTTTTTTGAAAGAATACACTATATCCTTCAAATATTGACCCAGAACACCAAGACATATGCAATAATATGACTGTACCTTAAAGAAAAAATTATTTAGGTATCTACAAAAAAGTACATGTTACTTATAAGGAAAAGAAACTTAGATTATCATCTGGCTTTTTAAAAGCAGTACTTCATGCCAGAAGAAAATAGAATGGCATGTTTTAGATATTCAAGAAAAATGTGAGCCAAGGATTTTATACCTTGAGAAACCGACTTTGAAGTACAAAGGGCACAGACAACTGTTATCAACATGTAAGAGATTAAGGAGTCTTGTTCTCTTGAGCCCTGTAGGAGAACAAACTTCGGACAAAATTACTAGAAAGACATTGACAGAAAGGCTGGACCACATGGTTCCCACCTGTAATCCCAGCACTTTGGTAAGCCAAGGTGGGAGGATAGCTTGAGACTAGGAGTTCAAGGCTGCAGTGAGCCATGATCATATCACTGCACTTTAGCCTGAGTGACAGAGCAAGACCCTGCCTCAAATAAATAAATACAGTTAATTGTAGAACTATGACTAAATGAAGATTAAAAGGGAGGGCTGGGTGCTTGGATTATAGGCTCTGACCTATAATTCCAGCACTTTGGGAGCCCAAGGTAGAAGTATCACTTGAGGCCAGGAGTTTGAGACCAACCTAGGCAACATAGTAAGACCCTATATCTTAAAAATGTATATATGTATATTTTTTAATTAGCCATTCATGGTGGTGCGCACTTGTAGTCTCAGCTACTCAGAAGGCTAAGACAGGAGATTGCTTGAGCCCAGGAGTTCAAGATTATAGTGAGCTGTGATTGCACCACTGTACCCCAGCCTGGGTGACAGACTGACCCTGTCTCTAAAAATAAAAATAAAAGGGAGAGAGTGTAGCATGCTCTAGCTATGTACTCAATCCATGTAAATGTAGTACAAAGAAGAGGTATGCAAAAAGGAATTTTAATTGTTCTAAGGGATATTAGTGATAATATTGCTATTATGCTATGTGTATAAATTTAGAATAAAGGAAATGAGTGTGGATTATTCTAATTCTGTTCTCTCCTTTGTCCTTGAAAACCAGAGTGTGGGCCGGGCGCGGTGGCTCAAGCCTGTAATCCCAGCACTTTGGGAGGCCGAGACGGGCGGATCACGAGGTCAGGAGTTCGAGACCATCCTGGCTAACACAGTGAAACCCCGTCTCTACTAAAAAATACAAAAAACTAGCCGGGTGAGGTGGCGGGCGCCTATAGTCCCAGCTACTCGGGAGGCTGAGGCAGGAGAATGGCGGCGTAAACCCGGGAGGCGGAGCTTGCAGTGAGCCGAGATCCGGCCACTGTGCTCCAGCCTGGGCGACAGAGCAAGACTCTGTCTCAAAAAAAAAAAAAAAAAAAAAAAAAAAAGAAAACCAGAGTGTGGAGGTAGAAGAAGATAAGGTTGTAAAATAGAAGTTAAATAAAGTATCTCGTAGTCCTGAGTATGAATTTGAACTAAATTCTTCTTTTGAAAAAATTTCTATATATTCTAGCTTGTCAACTGAGAAAGCCTAGAAATAAAGTGTCAGTGAACATCTCTGCTCCCAGATTGTATCTTGAAATATTATTTCCCACTTAAACCAGAGCCTTATTGGAAAAATGTCTGATTCTAGGTTTAGAACAGGAAATGTGCAGATGAGTCTGTACCCTCTTGTCATACCAAATAGCAAGCAAGCTGTCAGAGACTGCTAAGAGTCGAAAAGACTCAGCCAACTTGAAGATGTTCCCACTGACCAAAGATAAGATAATTTCAGCTTTAAAAGGGATAATTGCAATAGATTTAAATCCAATAAATACACTTAAATCTATGAGTTCTTAATGTTAAATTTTTTAAGACTAATTGGTTGCCTTTGGAAGATCATAGGAACAAATTTATTATCTCAAAACATGTAAATAAAGTGAAAGGAGAGAGCATATATCCTGCCTTTCTTATATGAACTGTATTATTATATCAATTGAGTAACCAAATAGTAGATAAAAGGATTGTTTCTTTATAAAATTATCCCAATAAAATAAAATAAGTGATAGAATATTATCATTTTGAAACACTCAGTAAATTAGTGTATCCAGACATTGATAAACAGCTGCTAACATACCACTTTCTGTAGTCTTGTTTAAGGAACCAAACATGGTCTGATCAAAGTTCTAGATCCAACTACCAATTTGCCCAACATAAAAAGGACAGAGCAACAGATTGAACTGCACTATGAATGTACGGTCAACCAAATCCATATTATGGGGAAAACTGTCATACACTCTAGGTTCTAAAACAGATGAATTGCAGGGAGGAAAAGGAATGGAGGGAAAACCTGTAGACAATAAGAGACTCTTTAATTTTTTTAGAGACAGGGTCTCACTCTGTCGCCCAGGCTAGAGTGCAGTGGTGTGATAATAGCTCACAACTGTCTCAAGCAATCCCTGCCTCAGCCTCCCAAGCAACTGGGACTGCAGGTGAACACCACCATGACTGGCTAATTTTTTTTTCCAATTTTTTTATAGAGATAAGTCTCTCTGTGTTAACCAGGCAGGTCTTGAACTCGAACTCGTGGCCTCAAGCAGTCCTCCAGCCTTGGCCTTCCAAAGTGCTGGATTACAGGTATGAGCCACCACACTCAGCCTTTTTTAATTTTATTTTATTTATTTATTTATTTATTTAAGTCTCAGCCAGGCACCAGTGACTCACCTGTAATCCCAGTGCTTTGGGGGCTGAGGTGAGAGGATTGCTTGAGGCCAGGAGTTTGAGACTAGCCTGGTCAACACAGCAAGACCCCTATTTTTAAATAAATATTAATGAAAATTTTTCTAAATGTAATGTTAAGTAAGACTGAAGTTCTAGGGATGACACTTGAGTGATAAAACAATAAACACAAGAAGTGATAACTGTTAAAATCAGGATAATGTTATTTGTGGAGAGGATAAGATAAGAGACTGGAAAAGGACACATTGCAGGGCTTCCAGAGTGGCATGCAAAGTTCTTTTTCTTGGCTTGGGTGGTGTTTACAAGGGGGCTTTCCTGATAATAACTCTTAAACTATACATTTATCTTGTGTGGCTCTCTGTATTTGAGCTTTATTTTATAATAAAAAGGTTGTTTCAAAGAACTATGGCAAAAGACTTCTACTTCCAAATAGATATAGTAGAGAGTAACAGCCATCACCCCCCACTACAACAACTAGGAAAAAAAGACAAATTACAAAAATCATTTTAAAATACATCAGAGGCATTTCAAAGATGACCAGATGAACTAAAATTCCACTGAAGAAAGAGCCTGTATTGCCGGCCGGGCGCGGTGTCTCATGCCTGTAATCCCAACCACTTTGGGAGCCCAGGCAGGCAGATCACGAGGTCAGGAGATCGAGAGCATTCTACTAACACGGTGAAACCCCATCTCTACTAAAAATACAAAAAATTAGCCAGCGTGTGCAGCACCTGTAGTCCCTACTGCTCGGAGGCTGAGGCAGGAGAATGGCGTGAACCCGGGAGGTGGAGCTTGCAGTGAACCGAGATCGTGCCACCGCACTCCAGCCTGGCGACAGAACAAACTCCATCTCAAAAAAAAAAAAAAAAAAAAGAAAAAAGAGCCTGTGTTATGTGAACTGAGGTCATGGTTGTTTTCTTCTTTCCTTGGGACATTTCCAAGTCTGAGTGTAGAAAAATAGCTTAATAGCTGACACAGATATAAATTCTAAGATGTTTTTCTAATGACTAAGTAAAATGTTAGATTTTCATTGCGCATTTGACTATAGCAAGTCTGTACTCAGTATATCTTTAGTGTGATTTCAAGTTATGAAAAAGGCTTCACTTAATAAGAACAAGCATACAGTCTGGTTTCCCTCACTACAGTTATCCGAAGGGAACAATGACTCGGTAGCTTCTATGAGTACCAGAAGACTAGGTGGCTTGGCTGTGTTAGGAGGGTTCTTATATGCTGTAGGTGCTCTGACGGACATCTCCACTCAACACAGGTTGTCCCTCCCAAAGGCAATCATTTACCCAAAAGCAGAACGTTTTCCTGAGAGTCCTCCTACAAAAAGTGTAAAACTCCATTATCCTTAATTTACTAGGAAAATGCTTGATTTTCCCTCCAGCAGATGCAGCTCTCAGCTCTTCCTCAGCTCTACTGTAGTCATATTCTGAGTACATTCCCCAAATATTTGTTTCTTCCCCTGCTTTACAAGCTGCTGGAAATGTATAATGAATTTTAAAAACTACTTTCTTATATACTTTCTCATATAAGTAGTTCCTTTTCCTCCATCACAACTTCTCCTCAAAAAAACCCACAACATACTCTATATTATAATCTAAGAATAAATAGCTTAGAACTACAAATTCATTTGTTTGGGTTTTGGTTTTTTGTTTTTGTTTTTATGACAGGGTCTTGCTCTGTCACCGCAGGCTAGAGTCCAGTGCATGATCTTGGACCTCACATGCACACTATACCTCCCGGGACTCAAGCAGTCCTCCCATTCAGCCTCCCGAGTGGCCTGGGATTATAGGTGTGTGCCACCAGGCCTGGCTGATTTTTGTATTTTTAGTAGAAATGGAGTTTCGCCATGTTGCCCAGGCTGGTCTCAAACTCCTGAGCTCAAGTGATCCACCCACCTCAGCCTCCTAAAGTGCTGGAATTATAAGCGTGAGCCACTGCACCTGGCCTGGTTTGTTATTCCTTTCTATTTAGACATTATGGGTATTTTTGCCTAAGGATATTGTCGATATGACAGTCACACCAGATTCATTGTCACATGTCTTCTCTTCAGAAGTTTAAAATGCACTATGCTATAGGGAAGGGAATATAGGAGTACAGAAGTTGTCTGATTATGATAATAAATTATTAGTACTGAATGATGCTTATTGATCATGTAGTCAGGCTCCCCATTGAATGATAAGGAGAGTGAAGCTGAGAGTCATGTAGCTAATTAGTCATTTAGATAAAACTAGAACCAGAGTATCTGGATCCCAACACATGCCCTTTCCACTGTACCATACCTAGAAGAAACCAGCCCCTGATGAGAGTATATGTGGTATTGTCCAGAGGTATACAAATCCTTCTCAGAAGCAAAAAATCAGATCATGTGTTGAAAATATGTTATCACAAAATATCAGTGGCTATAAAGAAAACTGGAGGTGAGAGGAAACGGTTGAATGCTCACTTACTGGTTTTTCTTTTCCCTACAGTGGAACGTTACAATCCTCAGGAAAACAGATGGCACACTATAGCCCCTATGGGGACCCGGAGGAAACACCTAGGCTGTGCAGTGTATCAGGACATGATCTATGCTGTAGGAGGTAGAGATGACACTACAGAGCTGAGCAGTGCTGAGAGATACAACCCCAGAACCAACCAGTGGTCTCCGGTGGTGGCCATGACATCACGCCGTAGTGGAGTAAGTGGAGTTATGGACACTTAGGTTGCTTCCAAATCTTGGCTATTAATAGTGCTGCAATAAACATGGGAGTGCAGATATCTCTTCAATATACTGATTTCCTTTCTTTGGGGTATATACCTAGCAATTAGATTGCTGGATCCTATGATATTTCTATTCTTAGTTTTTTGAGGAACCTCCAAACTGTTGTACTAATTTACATTTCCACCAGCAGTGTAGGAGGGTTCCCTTTTCTCTGCATCTTTATCAGCAATCATTATGGCCTGACTTTTGGTTAAAAACCATTTTAACTGGGGTGAGATGACATCTCATTGTAATTTTCATTTCCATTTCTCTAGTGATCAGATGTTGAGCACCTTTTCATATACCTGTCTGCTATTTTTATGCCTTCTTTGGAGAAAGGTCTATTGAGATCTTTTTGCCCACTTTTTAATTGGATTATTTGATTTTTTTCTGTTGAGTTGTTTGAGCCCTTATATATTCTAGTTACAAATCCCTTGTCAGATGGGTAGTTTTCTCCCATTCAGTGGGTTGTCTTTTCATTTTGTTGGTTGTTTTCTTTGCTGTGCAGAAACTTTTTGACTTAATGTGATCCCATTTGTCTATTTTTTCTTTGGTTGCCTGTGCTTGTGGAGTATTACTGAAAAAAATCTTTGCCCAGACCAATGTCCTGGAGAGTTTCCCCAGTGTTTTCTTTTAGCAGTTTCATTGTTTGAGGCCTTAGATTTAAGGCTTTACTTCATTTTAATTTGATTTTTGTATATGGCAAAAAATGGAGTCTAGTTTGATTCTGCATATAGATACCCAGTTTTCCCAGCACCATTAATTGAAGAGATTGTCCTTTCCCCAATGTACATTCCTGGCACCTTTGTCAAAAAAACAGTTTGCTGGAAATGTATAGGTTTATTTCTGGGTTCTCTATTCTTTTCCATTGGTCTATGTGTCTGTTTTTATGCTAGTCTCATACTGTTTTGGTTACTGTAGCTCTTTAGTATAATTTGAAGTCAGATATAATTTGAAGTCAGATTCCTCCAGTTTTGGTTTGTTGCTCAAGATAGCTTTGGCTATTCTGGGTCTTTGTGGTTGCATATAAATTTTAGGATTTTTTTTTTTCTATTTCTGTGAAGACTGTCATTGGTATTTTGGTAGGGATTGCATTGAATCTGTAGATTGTTTTGGATAGTATGGACATTTTAACAATATTGATTCTTCCAATCCTTGAACATGGAATGTCTTTTCATTTTTGTGTGTCCTCTTCAATTTCTTGCATCAGTGTTTTCTAGTTTTCATCATATTTTTCACTTCTTTGGTTCAGTTTATTCCTAGGTATTTTATTTTATTTATAGTTATTGTAAATAGGATTACTTTCTTGATTTCTTTTTCAGATTGTTTGCTGTTGGCATATAGAAATGCTACTGATTTTTGTATCTTGATTTTGTATCCTGCAGCTTTGCTGAATTTATCAGTTCTAATAGTTTTTTGGTGGAGTCTTTAGGTTTTTCCAAATATAAGATCATATTGTCTGCAAAGAAGAATAACTTGACTTCTTCCTTTCCAATTTGAATGCCCTTTATTTCTTTCTTTTGTCCTATTGCTCTAGCTAGGACTTCCAGTACTATACTGAATAATAGTGGTGAAAGTGCGCATGCCTGTCTTGTTCCAGATCTTAGAGGAAAGGCTTTCCGTTTTTCTCCATTCTAAATGATGCTACTGTGGGTCTGTCATATATGGTTTTTATTGTGTTGAGGTATGTTCCCTCTATACCCAGTTTTTTAAAGGTTTTTATCATGAAGGGATGCTTACTTTTATCAAATGCTTTTTCAGCATCAATTGAAATGATTGTTTGGTTTTTGTCCTTCATTCTCTTGATGTGATGTACCACACTGATTGATTTGCGTATGTTGAACCATTCTTGCATCCCTAGGATAATTTCTTCCTGGTCATGATGAATGATCTTTCTAATGTGTCATTGAATTCAGTTTGCTAGGATTTTGTTGAAGATTTTTGCATCATTGTTCATGGAGGATATTGGACTGTAGTTTTCTTTTTTTGATGTGTCTTTGTCTGGTTTGGGTATCAGGGTAATACTGGCCTCCTAAAGTGAGTTTGGAAGTGTTCCCTCTTCCTCTATGTTTGGAGTAGTTTGATAGGATTGGTATTAGTTCTTCTTTAAATATTTGATAAGATTCAGCAGTGAGGCCATTGGGTCCTGGGCTTTTCTTTGTTGGGAGATTATTTTTTTTTCTTTTCTTTCATTATACTTTAAGTTCTAGGGTACATGTGCACAGTGTGCAGGTTTGATACATAGGTCTACATGTGCCATGTTGGTTTGCTGCACCCATCAACTCGTCATTTACATTAGGTATTTTTCTTAGTGCTATCACTCCCCCAGCCCCCCACGCCCCGACAGGCCCTGGTATGTGATGTCCCCCGCCCTGTGTCTAGTGATATCATTGTTCAATTCTGCTGGGAGATTTTTTATTACAGCTTTGATCTCATTACTTTTTTGTTTTGTTTTGAGATAGGGTCTGGGTCTGTCGCCAAGGTTGGAGTGCAATGATACAGTGTCGGCTCACTGAATCCTCCACCTCCCAGGCTCAAACCATCCTTCCACCTCAGTCTACCCATTAGCTGGGACTACAGGTGCACACCACCACGCCCAGCTAATTTTTGTTTTTTGTTTTTTTGTTTTTTGGTAGAGTTGGGGTTTTGCCATGTTGCCCAGGCTGGTCTCAAACTCCTGGGCTCAAGCGATCTATTCACCTCAGCCTCCCAAAGTGCTGAGATTATAGGCATGAGCCACCACACTCAGCCTCATTACTTGTTATTGGTCTGTTCAAGTTTTGGATTTCTTCATGGGTCAATCTTGGTAGGTTGTATGTGTCTAGGAATTTATCTGTTTCTTCTAGATTTTCCAATTTATTGGCATATATTTGTTCATAATAGCCTCTAATTATCCTTTGAATTTCTGTGGTATCAGTTGTAATGTCTCCTTTTTCTTCTCTGATTTTATTTATTTGGGCCTTCTCTCTTTTTTCTTAGTCTGCCTAAAGGTTTGTTGATTTTGTTTATCCTTTCAAAAGTCAACTTTTCATTTCATTGATCTTTTGTGTTTTTTTCACTTGAATTTCATTAATTTCTGCTCTGATCTTTATTGTTTCTTCTCATTTTGGATTTGGTTCTTTTCTAGTTCTTTAAGATGCATTGTTAGGTTATTTGAAGTTTTTGTACTTTTTTGACGTAGGCTCTTATTGCTATAAACTTTCCTTTTACTTTCACTTTATGTCCAAAACTACTTTATAGGTTTTGGTATGTTGTTTTTCCATTTTCATTTGTTTCAAGAAATTTTTAATTTCTTCATTTCTTCATTGACCCACTGGTCATTCAGGATGCTTTTAGGTAAATCAAGCCCTGCTAATTTGACACTAGAAAATAATGAATTTCTTTTGATTATTTTTATCTCATGTAGTTTAAAATTTTTGTGTCCAGTCATATCTTTAATTAGAGAATAATTTTTTAGGATTTCTCTTTTTTTTTTTTTTTGAGAAGGAGTCTCACTCTGTCACCCAGGCTGGAGTGCAGTAGCACAATCTCAGCTTACTGCAACTTCCACCTCCCAGGTTCAAGCAGTTCTCCTGCCTCAGCCTCCCAAGTAGCTGGGACTATAGGCACGTGCCACCATGTCCAGCTAACTTTTGTATTTTTAGTAGAGATGGGGTTTCGCCATGTTAGCCAGGCTGGTCTCGAACTCCTGACCTCAGGTGATCCCCCACAGCCTCCCAAAGTGCTGGGATTACAGGCATAAGCCACTGTGCCTGGCTTTTATGATTTATCCTGTATCCATTGCTTTTCTGAAACAATCTCCCCAAATTATCTACTACCTTGCCTAAATTAATATTAGATCTATATATTGCAACCTAATGTTTCTAGCTAATAGTCTAAGTAGTTGGCATACTAATACAAATGTTTAGGCAAAAATACATCTGGCCCCACCCCCAGTCTCCACAAACTAGTTTGAGTCTATCCTATGTATAGTATAGACCAGATGAGACTCCCCTGTGACATGTTCTAGACCATGGATGGCCTGTGACTACAAGAGACTTCTGGGTGAAGTATAGAATTCATCCATCTTGGAATGTTTGCTCAGAGCAAAATGTAACCCATTAACCACTGATCACGTCAGGAGTTTATCGAGGCATCCATAACAGGAAGGAGAAGCAAGCAGTAGCTAAGCACTCCACAATCTGAGGATAAAAGAGAGTGAATTCTGGTTGGCATAAATCAAGGAACACCACTGGAAGGTGTCAGCAAGTCAAAGCCTTCACATATCAATGGCTTTTTGTTACTGACAACTAACAGCATCTTAGTCATATTCCTGTTAAGTGTTTGCTATGTGTTGGGAAAGCAAAAATGAGTATGACATGATCCTCTCCTTTAGTAGCTCCCAATTTAGTGAAGGAAATTGGAATGTTTACAGCTAACTATAATAAATAAACCCTACAGTGGTGTTACGTATTTTATGGAAGAACATAGGAGAATGCACTTACTGCTTTGGGGAAGTAAGAATGAGTTGGGGCAGTGAAGAGACTACCAAAGACCATCACATGTAAGCTAGCTCATGAAGGAAGAATAAGCTTTTCTAAAAGACAGAAAACAGTAGCCAGGGCCAGGTGCGGTGGCTCATGCCTGTAATCCCAGCACTTTGAAAGGCAGAGACAGGATTACTTGAGCCCAGGAATTTGAGACCAGTCCGGGCAACATGAGACCCCATCTATACAAAAAATTTAAAAATTAGCCAGATGTAGTGGTGCATCCCTGTAGTCCCAGCAACTTAAGAAGCTGAGGTGGGAGGATCACTTGAGCCTAGGAGGTGGACGCTATCGTGAACTGTTTTTTTGTTTTATTTTTTGAGCCTGTCACCCAGGCTGTAGTGCAGTGGTGCGATCTTGGCTCACTGCAACCTCCACCTCCCAGGCTCAAGTGATTCTCCTGCCTCAGCCTCCTGAGTAGCTAGGACTACAGGACTACAGGTGCGTGCCACCATGCCCGGCTATTTCTTTGTATTTTTAGTAAAGACGGTTTCACTATGGTGATCTGTGATCCTGCTACTGCACTGCAGCTTGAGTGACAGAGTGAGACCCTGTGAGTGAGACAGAGAGGGAAAAAGAGAGAGAGAGGGAGAAAGAGAGAGAGGGGGGCGGGGAGAAAACACCAGCCAGGGAACATGTACAAAAGTGTGGAGGTTGGCCGGGCGCGGTGGCTCAAGCCTGTAATCCCAGCACTTTGGGAGGCCGAGACGGGCGGATCACGAGGTCGGGAGATCGAGACCATCCTGGCTAACACGGTGAAACCCCGTCTCTACTAAAAAAATACAAAAAACTAGCCGGGCGAGGTGGTGGGCGCCTGTAGTCCCAGCTACTCGGGAGGCTGAGGCAGGAGAATGGCGTGAACCCGGGAGGCGGAGCTTGCAGTGAGCTGAGATCCGGCCACTGCACTCCAGCCTGGGGGACAGAGCGAGACTCCGTCTCAAAAAAAAAAAAAAAAAAAAAGTGTAGAGGTGTGAAAAATGTATGTTATCTTCAGGGACTAGCAATTAATCCAGTTTTACTGCAGCATAGGATTCATTAGTAGGAGTAAAGGGAAACTATAGGCGGTGAGGCTCAAATAGTGGGCTAAGATAGATTTCTGGAGGGCCTGAGTAACATAATAAGGACTTTAAACTTTTCCTTAAGTAGTAGGGAGGCTTAGAAAGTATTTTGGTTTTAGGAGATTTTTTTTGAGAGGGTCCCACTCTGCTGCCCAGACTGGAGTGCAGTGGCACAATCTCAGCTCACTGCAACTTCGACCTTTCAGGCTCAAGCCGTCCTCAGCCTCCAGGTAGCTGGGACTACAAGTGTGCCTCACTACACCCAACTAATTTTTGTATTTTTTGTAAAGACAGTCTCACTATGTTGCCCAGGCTGGTCTCGAAATCCTGGGCTCAAGCGATCCACCCACCTCAGCCTCCCAAAGTAAGAAAGTTTTTAAAGAGGAAAGTGACAATATGATTAGATTTCTGTTTTTCTGTTTTACTTTAGTTTTGTAGAGATAGGGGTCTCACTGTGTTGCCCAAGCTGGTCTTGAACTCTAGGCTTCAAGTGATGCTCCACCTGGGCCTTCCCAAAGTGCTGGGATTACAGGCATGAGGTACCATGCTTGGCCTAGATTTGTATTTTTAAAAGAGAATTTTAGTAGCAATTTAGAAAGATTAGAGCAGGCAAACACCAAAAGAAGTGAGAGCAGTTTGAAGGTTGTTTGCTCACTCCTAGTGAGCAGTTTTTTTTTTTTAATTTAAGAAATACATGTTTTCGATTCTGTGTGAATATTCTAATTGAATATATAATTTTATAGTTCCCATAATTTGATAGACTTTTGTTGTTACATCTTCCCTCTGTGTTTCAGTAAACCAGAATATAAGGCCATAAAGAATTATCTTTTGTAAACAGATTTATCTAGAAACCAGTCTATAATTTCCTTAATGATTGTCTAGTTTCTTCAGCAGCTTACTGTATTTTGGTTTTGTAGGTTGGCCTGGCAGTGGTCAATGGACAGCTCATGGCAGTAGGAGGTTTTGATGGCACAACATACTTGAAGACCATAGAAGTTTTTGATCCTGATGCCAATACATGGAGGTAACTTTTAAGCTGTGTAGCAAATCACCTTACTACTGACTTGGAAATCATGGGCTTGAGATAGCCCATGACCATCAGAACTGGGATGGTCAGTACACTGGAGTACTTTGAAGAGGGCTGAAGTTACACATATTTATGGCTCATTTTGACTTGATTGCTCTAAAGTGGCTGATATATTACAAAATTCTCCTTTTCAGTAACTGTCCAGTTTTATAATTAGAGATGGGTAAAATAGGGGAAAAAATATCCTTCCTGGTCCGATCATGTTCAGATGAGGAAACAAAAGCACTGAGAAATAAAATGACTTGCCTAACTGACTTAGTGACAGAGTTAGAATTAGAACCTAGGTCTGGCTCCAAATCTGTCCATGCCATTTTTTGGTGTTCTTGTGGGAAACCTATGCTTAGGAAAAACAAATTGCAATTACTTTTGAAAAATTAATGTTTAAAAAAAGAATATTTCATTTTTAAACCCATTTTAACTTTTAGGGAGGAGGCTACATCTTATTTAAGAGAGATTTACTTAAACTTCATATCTAGGTTTAATTTTACTTTACTTTTAAATCCTCAATTGTCTAATAAAGCTTTCCTAAGTAGTTAAGTAGTTTTTATAATTTCACATAAATTAGGTGACTTTTACACTTATTTTAAATATTCAAACCTTTACAAACTTAGCAAAATTCTCTTAAACCTTTAAACTTAAAATAATTAAGTCTAAATCTTTACTCAATCATATTTTATACTGGAATCACAAGAGTAATCTTATAGATGCTCTAAAAAGCCAAATTCTCTTAAACAGTATAAGAACTTAAAATGCCAAACATATAGTTGATTCTCAACTTTAAAAATAACGGTACTATGGGTTTGATGTATGGCATATCTGTACTTAATTCTAAATACTAGTCTTCTAAGAAAACAGTTTTGCCTTCTAAGCAATTTGGGATTTCCTTCTCAATAAAATGGGCTTACTTGCCTAAGCAAGTTTAGGGTTACCATCTCGGTGGCTAAGGTTGCACATCAACCAGAAATAACAGGCTGGACATGTGAGCTGAGGAGCAGACATTCTGGGAAATTTTTCTTATGACCATGAAGGATAAGCTGAGCTCTGTTTTATTGTTACTGTTCTAAAAGAGGCAGTCTTGTAGTCCATTCTTACTGTGTTTCTAATACATTTCCTAATTTTAAGCCTGCAACTATCCACCTGGGTTTTTTCATCACCCTATTAGATTCAACTATAGTCTATCTCTAGGAAAGCCACAACCTTCACAGAGATTTAAGTGACATGCTTTGGATCCTCCATATGTCTCACAGCTCCATATGACTCAGTGGTCACAAACTAAAGTCAAGCTAATAACAGCATAGTACTTTTTGCTCTTACATCACATTTTTACAGTCCTGTTCATTAAGTAAAGATTTACTAATGGCTGGGCATGGTGGCTCATGCCTGTAATCTCAGCACTTTGGGAGACCAAGGTGGGCAGATCACCTGAGGTCAGGAGTTAGAGACCCCCTGACCAACATGGTGAAACCTCGTCTCTACTAAAAATACAAAAATTAGCCAGGCATGGGTGGTGGGCACCTGTAATCCCAGCTACTTGGGAGGCTGAGGCAGGAGAATCGCTTGAACCTGGGGGGCAGAGTTGCAGTGAGTGGAGATTGGGCCATTGCACTGCAGCCTAGGTGACAGAGTGAGACTCCATCTCAAAAAAAAAAAAAAAAAAAAAAAAATTTACTAAGTGCTCTGAGCCCTGGGGCTACAAAACTAAACAACAACAACAAAAAATTCCTGCTGAGCGCACGCCTGTAATCCCAGCTACTAAGGAGGCTGAGGCACGAGAATCTCTTGAACCCAGGAGGTGGAGGTTGCAGTGAGCTGAGATCACACCAGTGTACTCTAGTCTGAGTGGCAGAGCAAGGCTCCATCTAAAAAAAAAAATTTCTTGCCCTGCTGGAGCTAACCAATTGTATTGAGGGAGACTAACAGTACCATACCAGTAGATGGAAGTGCTATGGCAAATATCGAAGCAGGGGAGGAGGCTAGGGAGTACAGGGAGGGGAATCTGTTTTTAAAGGTGGCCAGGGAAGGCCTCATTGGAAAGGTAACATTTTAGCAAAACTAATAACGGTAAAGGATAGGTAATGGCAGCTTTGGGCCTCTCACTGGCAGGATATTTTCTTCCATATACAGCTTTCTATTTTTACTAAGAATTTTGAGTAAGCATAATTTCTGAAGACAGCCAAATTTACTGTCACTTAATCACTATAATCTTATCTGAGGACTTCTTAGTAACTGTCACTAAATAGAATTAGTAATAGATGACAAAGTAATAGTCATGAAATTCTTGAGGATCATCTGTTGAAAGAGTAATAACTAAATATTTGCAGTTACATATCCCAGACTTAAAAACCAACTCTACCTCATAGCTGATAAGGGTCTAGTATTCTTCTCCATGGAAGGTCCTTAATTTTGAAGATGATCTTGTCACAAACTAGGTGCGACTTTACTCAAATCCAGTTTTGTTCTATAAAAGACTTGAGGAGGCTTACAGAGTACATATAAGACAAAGGGATAAAAATAAATATTTAAAGAATTTTAGGCAAAGGGAAAACATAGGTGGGACAATAATATAGCCAGGGGCAAAATTACAAAAATGTAGAATATATAATTCTGTGTAATTGTTAGAAGTCAGTGAGGTATAAAGTTGTAAAGTTCTGATGCAAAAAGTGAATATGATGCTCTCTTATTCTTCACACAGCCTCCTATGAGAGCATGTCAATCTCTGAAACAGTCCTGCTACTCAACAGTGCTCAACTGCAGCTTCTAATTTTTAGAATGAAGACAGTATTAGTGTGAAGCTGAAAATATAGTTGTAATATAAAACATAGAAATGTGTTAATAACATCTTAGTTGTGGAAGAAATGGTGCTTTTTTTCCAGTTAGAAAATATGATTATGTTTCTCTCTTTGCAGGTTATATGGCGGGATGAATTACCGTCGGCTAGGGGGTGGTGTAGGAGTTATTAAAATGACACATTGTGAATCCCATATTTGGTGAACACAGAGAAGACAGAGTCTTGTACATATTCCTCTGTATTCTGGGGAGCTTTGACCTTGGAGCTTTGTACAGCTTGAGAAAACATTAGAACAAATTTTATTATTTGCCGGTGCCTCAACATATGGAAATACAAATGAAAGTACTTCACCTGCAAGATGCACAATAATTTTCAACTCTGTGCAGAAGAATATTTATTTTTGGTTTTAATTTATCATGGTTTTTTGTTGTTTTCGTTTTGAACTTACCCTTCCTCCTACAAAAAAAAGAAAAGAAGAAAAAAATTCCAAGCAGCAAAACTTACTTTGTTTATAAGGTATTGATTTAGGTTTGAAAATACTATTTAATAAGGGCATAAGGGCTATATATGATTTGGCTGTTATTTCTAGACACTCCATCCACGTGATTCCCCTAACAAGGATTACCAGGAATTAAGGTAGGTATGCAAAAATGTATTAGCTAGCCATTATTCTTGCACTAACCACCAGAACACTTGAAAATCTAAAAAAAAAAAAAAAAAAAAAAACCAAGAAAAGGCAACATCTCATTTTAAATAGTACAATTCAGAAGGGATACTAAATCAATAAAAACCAGGACTCAGACACTACAGTTTTCATCAGTGTAATTTTATGTCTTGTTTCTATATGAATTTGTTTATTTAGTCTTTTTTTCATAATATTCTCATAGAGTTTCTGCTAGATCTAGAGCTCTGCTCAGTGCCTCTTATAAAAACAATATATGTCTCATATGCTGTCTTGAGAATCCAAGAGAATCACATGCAGCTCTGCAACAGTTTTGCTCAAAAATGTTACCAACTAAAGCAACTGTCCTTCCTGTTTCCTTATTGCTACCAAGGACCAGCAGGGAGAAATATCTTCTCCCAGCAGTGAATTCTGTTATGCAATTTATTCTTGATGCTCAGGCCTAGTTAAGCTGAGGCTTACCTTTAATAACAGCCTCCAAGGGAATGAATTATTCAGTTCATGTAATAGCACACATTAAAGAATATAAAATCAATTGAGGCATTTTATTAATATATTGGTTCTTTTATACAAACAATGTGTCATTATCTTCATTCTATAAGACCATTGTTACTACTTCTCTCAAATTGCACTTTCTGGTAAAAAGTTAAAAATTTTTAGGAAAAAACATAATTTCAATGGTTAAAGTTTTTTTTCCTCATTGTATTCATAGACAAATTTTTTTCAATATATTTTGCAAGAAAAATCTTGAATAAGACTAACTGCATTTAAAAGGAATAACCTCCTTTCCCCAACTACAAAGATGTTTGGCAACTTTGTGTTTACATTTAAAGATCATTTGCACCTTTTTCAAGGAAAAAAAAAAGTATTGAGTAAACAGTTGTTTACATGTATCATTTATGCTTTTTTCTAGCATGTATAACTTTTTTAAATAAAGGTAGTATTTACCATTAAAAAATTTTTAGCTAATGCTTTTTATCCTTGTACTTTTGTTATTTAATTTGGAATTTCTGTTTCTATATAATTTATTTTACCTGTATGTAAACTTACAAGTGCTTTCAACTTGAAGGAATAAAAGGATTGCCAGCTAGAATTAATAGGAATTTTCATTATCTATTTTTATATGTTATATTACCTAACCTATAAACTTATTTTCTAGGTAGAACTTAGAATCATACAATTTTGAGCTGGAAGGACTCTTTAATAATCATCTAGTCCAAACCTATTTATTACACTGATCCAAGTCTGAAAACCACAGAAGTCTGCCTAAGAATAAATAGTTAATGACAGAACCAACATTAGAAGTCAGTTTCCTCAATTCCTAGTCCATTCTTCCTTCTATGCCACACTGCCACTGCAGGTTTACCTGAAACTAAATATAATAAAAGACCTTAGGTATTTTAACTAAGTCTGGTATGAACATGTAAAAAGTATAAAAACTTTTATGAGATCCTTACTGTAGTACATCATTAACAATCAGTCTTCAAGGCAAAACCATGTATTTCCCAAGACTCTACTATTTCATACATCTGAGGCAAAAGAGAGTGATAATAGCAAGAACAAAACTAGGGATTAGACTCTCCATTAGTCAGGAAGTCCCCAGTGGGAGCAATTCATACGGCACTGATTCAAGAGTAGAGACCCAGGAATTAACAGCACTGGCCAGAGTCTTCATTGGAGACTGTTAGGGGTTTGTTTTCCCCCTCCAGTGAAGGCACTCCACTTTTATTATTGATTGAAATGTATTCTGTTAAAGGTGTTGCTGTAAAATAGAATGTTTATTAATTTGTGTGCATAGTTTTTTCCACAACTCAAGTTTGGAATAGGGGTTGGGTTGGCAGTCATTTTCATTTCATAAGTAAGTCTACTGAAGCTTAGAAAAGTTGAAATGACATGGTAGGAGCTGAACCTTAAATCTGTAGCCCCCTGATTGTAATCCTTTGTGCTCTATACACATTCCCACATTCCTGTTTTGATTGCTTCCCAGTTCTCTTCCATAATGTTTTACCTCTAGATACTCACCACTGCAGATAATACTTCTTGACTACTGTGTAAAAAGGGTCTTTCCCGTACAAGATGTGAGGGAGTAGGGGACGAACCTTTCAAACTTTGTGTTAACTGGGGAAACAGATGGGCAAAGAAAAAATGCAAGAAGGAAAGAAATATAGAAGAGGAGAGAAAGCAGCAGCAGGAGGCAAAAATGACCCACTAAACCTGAGTGTGTCTGCCCAATGTGAGAAATGGCTCTGTAAATTGCTTTGAGGGCCCTGCTGGAAGTGATGGAAAAGAATGGTCCCAAGAAATGACAAAACTCTTCAACTAAGTTGTCTTACATGTCCTTTATACTGATCTTTCAGTTATTTAGCTGTGTAAGGTTAGGAACTTAGATTATTTTAAATGTAAAAAAGAAAGGATGGTTATTCACTGAACTATCATAAAATATTTGGGCTATTCCAGTAACAGTAACCTACTAATACCCCTATCCTAGAAAGACTGTTTAAGCCCGAATTCCTAGGAAAAGAGGACACATATCTTCAGTGTGAATTTAGACCAGTGAACCCTTGGACTTCTCCTAAACAGGAACAGCCCCTGCTTTCAAAAGCTTAGTTTTAAGCCTTGGTTTCATTAAGCCTCTCGATCAGTGGTTCTCCAAGTATGGTCTGTGGACCCCTGAGGTCTCCCATATCTTCTTTTTCTTCCTCTTGTTGCCCAGGCTGGAGTGCAATGTTGCAGTCTCGGCTCACTGCAACCTCTGCCTCCCAGATTCAAGCGATTCTCCTGCCTCAGCCTCCTGAGTAGCTGGGATTACAGGCATGTGCCACCAGGCCCAGCTAATTTTTTTGTATTTTTAGTAGAGACGGGGTTTTGCCATGTTGTTCAGGCTGGTCTCAAACTCCTGACCTCTGGTGATCCGCCCGCGTTGGCCTACCAAAGTGCTGGGATTACAGGCGTGAGCCGCTGCACCCAACCAAGTCCCCAATATCTTTCAAAGTATCCATGAGTCGAAACTTTTTTTTTTTTTTTTTGAGAGGGAGTCTCGCTCTGTCGCCCAGGCTGGAGTGCAGTGGCTCAATCTCAGCTCCACTGCAAGCTCTGCCTCCCAGGTTCACGCCATTCTCCTGCCCTCAGCCTCCTGAGCAGCTGGTGCCCGCCACCATGCCCAGACTAACTTTTTTATATTTTTAGTAGAGATGGGGTTTCACCGTGTTGGCCAGGATGGGCTCGATCTCCTGACCTCTTGATCCGCCCACCTCAGCCTCCCAAAGTGCTGGATTACAGGAATGAGCCACGGCCCCGCTGAAACTATTTTCTTAGTAAACTAAGTTTTCTGCCTTTTTTACTGTAGTGGCATTTGTGTTAATGGTGCAAAAGCTATGGTGGGGTAAAACTGCTGGTGTCTTAGCATAAATCAAGGCAATAACAAAGCATAAATCAAACTGTACAACTAGACATAGTATTCACCACCATAGACTTGTAGGACCTTTTTTTTTTTTTTTTTAAACATGTTTTTATTTGAGACAGAGTCACGCTCTGTCACCCAGGCTGGAGTGTAGTGGTGAGATCTCTGCTCACTGCAGCGTCCACCTCCTGGGTTCAGGCAATTCTCCAATCTCAGCCTCCCAAGTAGCTGGGAATACAGGCGCCCACTAGCACCCCCGGCTAGTTTTTTTATTTATTTTTCGTAGAGACAAGGTTTCGCCATGCTGGTCTCGAACTCATAACCTCAAGCATCCGCCCACCTCAGCCTCCCAAAGTGCTGGGATTACAGGCATGAGCCACTGTGCGTGGCCTGGATTTTTAAAAATTTGCTTAAAAATGTCCTTGATGAAGCAACAAAAATTATTAATGTACTAAATCTCAACTTGTGGACATACATCTTTTTTCAATATTTTATGACAAAATGGGAAGTATGCATAAAACACTGCTGCAAACCAAAATACAGTGGTTGTCCCAAGAAAATCTTTTGAGATTGTTTTAAGATGCAAGCTGAACTACCTACTTTTTGAAAGAATGACACACAAATTGAGGTCATTTAGACTTGGGTGTTGAGCAGGCATTTTCTCTCAAATGAACAAAGTGAGGCTATCATTTCAAGGAACACAACTGACAGTACTTATTGTCAACCATATTCAAGAGAAAAATTACAATTTTGAGAAGGCTATGTCAACTATGAACTTGACAGCTACTTAAAAACTTTTCTGATGAAACTGGTGATGACATCGATGAATGCCTTTTTAATTGTATAGTGAAGCGTGTCAACATGTGGAAGATCTGTATAACTCATGGAATCAGTTTTTCTAAATGATTAATGCACAGGTTAAGATGTATCCAAAGCACAAGACAGACCAACAGATCTTATGGGAACAATATGAAAGGTCTTGATATGGTTTTAGATTTCAGCAGTCACTTGTCAAGTTTTAATGTAGTATCAAGAGTATCCATAATTATCAGAAAAGCTCTTAAAATCCTCCCCCTTCCAATTTCATATTTGTGTAAGCCATATTTTCTTGACATACTTCAACCAAAATAACATTGCAAAAGATTGAATGCAGAAGCAGGTAAGAACTCAATTGAGTTCTAATAAGCCAGAAATTGAAGAGTCATACAAAAATGTAAAAGAAAACATCACTAATTTTTTTGCTTTTGAAATAAAAAAAATTGTTTTAAAAATGATAGCCTGGGCCAGGCATGGTGGCTGATGACTGTAATCCCAGCACCTTTGAAGGCCCAGGCGGCAGATACACTTAAGATCAGGAGTTTGAGACCAGCCAGCCAAAAATGGCAAAACCCTGTCTCTACTAAATATACAAAAATTAGCTGCGCATGGTGGTCCATGCCTGTAATCTCAGCTCCTTGGGAGCTGAGGCAGGAGAATCCCTCGAACCTGAGACACAGAGGCTGCAATGGGCCGAAATCATGCCACTGCACTGCAACCTGGGTGACAGAGTAAGATTTCGTCTCAAAAAAAAAAAAAGACATGTAAATAGGTTTATTTTTGATGCACTATTTTTTTTAATTTCTCTATTTTAATTTCTAATATGGTAAAAATCACTAGATATAATGCATGTAAACAGAAGCTCTTTGTGTCCTCAAGTTTTTGAGGCTTTAAAGGGATCTCAAGGCAAAAATGT